CTCATCAACCTTGATTTGGGTGGACGGTGCCTTTGAGCTTAAATTTTTTTTCATATGAGGTTGCGATGTAAACTCTACAGGTATGAATTGTACTCCTTTTGTTCATTGCCTCTGGATTATCCGCAAAATTTTTACTTATCTTGAACGTGAGTGAGCAACCTTCTTTATTGTTATCAATCGCCAATGACATTGGGGATCTCTATCATTCGAGGAGAGAATCGAATTTGAAAGTTCCAACCTAGTCTTAGCAACAGCCGCAATTACGTATCATAATGGCCGAGAATATGAATTTCGAACTCGGACCCAGACAGTAATCTTACTGAAACTCGATCTCATCGGCTCACCTTACTTAATCTATGAAGTGGCTCTTGGACTATGGCTTTTAGGCTCCCTTTCATTCCCCAAGGATAGATTCAGTTGCCCAGATCTGCCTGGGCCATGTCTTCAAGCAAAAATAATTGAGAAAAGCTTTGAGTTGCTTAATGTTGCGAATTGAATTGTATGATCTACTGCTGTACAATAAAAAGTTTACGAGCTGGCTGTTAGGTGAAGGTCACATCCTAATTCTTGTTTCAGTACGACCCAGAATCCACTATGATAGATGAGTTTGGCGATTTCTTCGATCGCTCCGGCTATCGGTACCAGTTACGTGGATCCGCTATTGCCTACAAAGTACACAGAAACAATACTAATGTGACATTTCCTCATATTGTCCAGGTAACTGTATAAATGCTTCACTAGTAGATTCGCATCATAGCTAAATCATCGCTTTAGTTATCAGCGAAAATAACCGACAATCGTAGCATACGCACCGCAGATGCTGAGAAGGTCGCTGAAAAAGTTGGTTCTCATCCAGATCTGTTTTGGAAAGTGAGGCATCTTTTCAGGTATATCAAACACTTTCGATGGAAGGTGCAGTGTTTTCAAAACATATCGAGTTGATTACTCCTTGACTTTCTTCACGCCTTCAATGCGGTCTGACTGGATCCGTTATGCCTGATCTCTACGGTTCT